ACACTGAGGGAGGTGCACTCCTAGTATACTAATCACTTTTTACCTTCTTAAACTGATATTTCTTAAATATTTTCTTACCACTAAATTAGAGTAGTGAACAGTGTAACAAAATAGAAAATGATGAAATAAAACTTGGATCAAAATGGTCAAACATAGGCAAAATCATTTAGTGTAAATATATGTATGTGTGTGTATATATATATATATATATATATATATATATATATATATATATGTCCTTCTATGGACATTTACTCCCCATCTCTACAATGCAATACTACGCAGCAATTTTTTCGACAAGACTGGCCCATGTGGATTAATATAAAATTGTCTACAAAACATACCAAAGTGAAAAAAGTGGTTTTTGTGTGATATGTAGTATGATCCCATTTATAAAAAGTGAAGCTACGTGTTTCCAGATGGTGCAAGGGAGGATTCCTTTTTGCCTTTGTGCTTCTGAAATATTTAAGTTTTTATGGGAATGTCATGTGCCGATTGTTGGGTAGAGAAAGGCATTCTGTGGGAATGAACTGGAGATGAAGTTGTAAGGCTTATCCCCCCACACCCTGTCCCCAGGAAGCAGGTTTTCACTGATGAATGAACAAGCAGAGCAGACTTCCGGCACTGGCCCACTCACAGGGGTCTCGCTGCTGCTGTAGGCGATCACCTCCAGCACCGAGTTCTTCTCGCAGGTGTCGATGCACGACAGGTCATAGAGCGAAGAGTGCACGGGCCCGTAGGCCCACTCGGTGAATTTCCTGGACAGGTGCCTGCACTCCGGCTCCTGGATCTCCCTCTGGAGGATATAGGCCAACACCTGCCACCAGGCAGGAGCCTGTCAGAGGCCAGCCCAGGTCCCAGCCACAGGCTGCGCCTCACCAGCTCTGCTCAGAGAGTAACTATGCTTCAGCCCAGTAGGGGTCCACCCAGTCCCGGGAGGGTTGCACCCTCACCCAGTGGCCCCCATATCATCAAAATCAACCTGCCACATCAACCCCATCACCTGATCACACCTGGCCCCTCAGTTCCCATCTCACAGTGGCAGACTACAGCAGTCCATTCTAGAAAAACCTCAAGCCAGAAGGAATAAAGAAAATCCAAAAAATAAAACCAAGAATTAAAACAAGGTTAAAAGTCATCCTAAGAGACTAAGGGTGAGCGGGGTTCCAGAATTCCCTGGTACTGAGCAGCCCTCTCCTCTCGAGTGTCCGACTGTCCAACCCCTCCATCAGCCTTCCACAGCCTGACAGCACCCCTACGCCCCCTTATTTGGGCTTGGGCCCGCCTACTATCCCAAACTCCAGCCTTGGAACCCTCCCATCACCCGAAAGTCCTGCCTGCCCTAGACAAACAACTACACCATTTTCAGTCTTATCTGCAGCTCAACCCACCCCAGCACCCCACCCCCACCCTGTCTGTTGGGGTGATGGGAGTGGGCACGCAGAAGCAGCCACGTGGCACGCGCTGCATCTGCTCTGCACTTCCCAGTTCCTCCGGCTCACTCTCACCGGCCCGCCCTGCCCCAGCAAGCTGGGCGGCGGCCCTGGGAGTGGCTGGAGAGGCCAGGTGTGCACAGCGAGACAGGCAGCACCTCCACACTCCAACCCAGGCACAAGGCTCCCCATACCCCAATCTTCCCACTCCTGGCGGCCAGAGCCAGGGGTGTCAGCCCCTTCTTGTTGGTTAGCTCCTCTAGCTTCAGCGTCGGATGGAGCTTGGCCCCCAGGATCAGAATCTCATTGTACATGCTGGTCACAAACTTGGTGTTTTCGGCCGTGTTGTCGGCCACCTCCACCAGGGCGTGCAGCACCGTGTTGCCCGCCGAGTCCCGGGCGCTGATGTCTGCCGGCTGCCAGGAGTTCTGCAGCAGGAACTTCACGATGCCCAACTGGTTGGTGCATGCAGCCAAGGAGAGGGGCAGCTCCCCTGAAGCCAACATGGGCACGAGGTTTAGTCCCCAGACCACCCTGCTTCACTCTCTCCATCTCTGCCTCAACTCCCCACACCACCCCCCTCCTTTGCAAGGTGTAAAAGCCAAGTGCCCACCGCAGGTCTACCTACCAAAGTAAAAGCCAGGTCGCTCTTTGGTCTTCTTAAAGAAGTCCCCGTTGGCCGCAGCCTGGACATCTGCCCCGTTCTCCACCAGGAGGGCGACCAGTGGCATGTTCCGCCTCTCGATGGCGATGTGCAGCGCCGTCTGGCCTGTGGGGACGCCGGCCTGCGATTGGCACGTGCTCACCGTCCCTTGGGGGTGCGGGGACAGGTGCCCGAAGAGGGCCTGGGCAGGAAGTACCAGTGACCCCCATATCAGGCCAGGCCGAGGTCCCCAAAAGAGATCTGGGCAACCCCCACAGCAGGAGTAAAGACCCCTGGGAACAGAGGGCACAGACTGGGAGCAAGTGAGGTCAAATTTGCCCGAGCGAAGCAACAGGAGCCGAGAGAGAGGTTGACTTCTAGCAGAGAGCAACTCCCAGCCTGCAGAGGGAACCTCAGAACCAGATGGCTCCAGTGGGTGGGGGAGGAGGCAGGGTCCCCCAAGACCAGGAGGTGCTGCCTCAGTGACTGGGACGGGGAGTGAGGCTTGCCACGCGTGACAGTACCCCCCCAGGCCCAGGTGTGCTTGCGGACAGACCGCCGCACTCCGCCCGCCTCACCCTTGTAGTAGCTGTCTGTGTAGCTGGCGTTGACAAGCTCCTTCAGGCTGTCCGTCTGCCGGGCGATCTCCAGGAGTAGGGGGATGGTGTCGTTCTGTCCGTCACGCAGGTTGAGCATGGCTTTCAACAGGCAGGTCTTCCCTGTCTCTGGGTCTGCAAAACAAAGCGGGTCAGAGTAGACGCTACCCCCGGGCTTCTCCAGGGAAGCCCACTGCCCCTGGGCCACCTTTGAACTCGCTGTCCATGAGGTGCTTCTTGCTCTTCTGCAGGAACAGCAGCAGGCTCTCCAGCTCCTCGCAGTTATTCTGGGCCACAGCTTCGAAGATCTTCCTGCGGTCATAGAGCTGGAGGTTCTTCTTGGCTCCCACAGGGACACAGTTCTGGAACAGCTGCCTGCAGGCCCCAAGACATCTTTCTCTCACACTCCGGCCACCCCTTGCCCCGAGGGCCTCAGGAGCTTGTCAGGGAACACAGCTAAACCCCAAGGCAAAGCAGAAGAGGAACATGCATGATACCCCACAACACTCTCCTCTGTCCAGATGATCACCCTAGAAGGGCACCTGTGTCCCCATTCTGTCCCACCCTCCCTAGGGACATCTAAGTCTGCTGCCACCACTTCCTTCAGCACCTAGGCCCCTCTCTCTCTCTCTGGCTGCTCAGCATCTGGGGTTCTGGAGGCAGTAGCCCTGGTGGCCCCTGCAAGTATAAAAGCACACAGACGCTGGCCCAGGGGTCAGCCAGGCCAAGGGCCCTCCCTGACCTGCTTGGGAGGAGGTGGCAGGGCTGTTGGGCTGCTCCCTGGAACTGCTTGTGTTCTTTGTCTAAAAGCATCCTGAGGCTGTGAGTTTTGTGACTTAAAGCCCAAGAGCTGGTGAGCACCCAGAGATCAGAGGGCACCGGCGATCAGCCATCTGCAGAGAAGCCAGCATCTGGGACCTCGTGTCCTGAAGCACCTGTGAGTGCAGATGCTGGAGCAGATGACCACTGAAGTCTCCCCGGCTCTATGCCTTTCAGCCCCTACGCCAGTATTTCCAAGACCGGGACCTGGTCTCTGCGTCAGCTGGACTCCTGGTGGGGAGGGGCTGGGGTTCCAGACCAGCTTACCTAGCAGAGGCAGAGCCATCCCCAGGCCTCTGGGTGATGATAGCGGGGCTGACTGTGATGGCCGGACAGGAGGACAGCTCGCCTTCCTCATAAGAGCAGTCCATGGGGGACACCTCCTCTGAGTCACATTTCCCAAAAAGCCGGCTCCGGCTCTTGGCCGTGGGAAAGAAGTGGGATTTGACTAGAGTCGGCCTGAAGTTAGGGTCTTCATCCAAGGGATCTGAGCACGAGTCCTCTTGGGGTGGGTCCTCGGACTCTCCTGAGTCTGAGTTCCCCCATTTCTTCATCCTTGCCAGCTCCTCTGTGGCCCAAGAGGCAGCCTGCAGGTGGCCAAGGAGATGGGTTGGTTTCCAGCTGAAGGACTGCGTGGTCCAAGCCCCCACTGCCCTCCTGCAAGGCCTCTGTGAAGCAGGACACCCCAGAGGCCCAACAGTTGCTGAGGCCCCCAGAATGGAAGCTTCTGGGGTGCTGTACCGCCAACCCCAGAGGCCCCAGAAGTGAGAAGGCCGGCCAGCCACATGGGCATCAGCCTCCAGGGGAGCAGAAGCTCAGCTTGGAACCTGCAGGCTCAGAGGGCCCGGGATGGACCCCTCCGCCCCCTGGCTCCAGCTGCTGGTCTCAGAGGCAGGTGACGGCCTGCCCTGCTTCCTCCCAGGTGGAATAAGGGAAACAAGGGGAGCAGGTCCTCAGGGAAGAGGATGGTGGGGCCCCAAAGCTGGAGCAGCCTGCGTCCTGAGAGACCCGGTGGCTGGCAGAGACCCCCACGCTCACACTCCCACTGGGGGGCTGCTGCACCCCCTCCTCAGCTTTGCTCACACCTGCATTTGCTCCCCAAGCTGGCGGCTGCAGCCATTGCGTTAATGGGGGGGTTTGCGCACCTTTTGTCATTTTTGTCAAATGTCTGTGTTTCTAGTAACCTGACCCTGAACTTTCAGATTTTGAGTGATGTGGGGCTGAGAGACCCTTTAGGCCTGAAGCCCTAGAAGAATGTGGGGAAGGTTGTGCTGGCACACAGGCCACATTCTGGTGCAGGTACGGTTTTCCACTCCTTTCTAAGCCTTCCCTCCTAATCTTCCCTCTGTCTGGAGGGGGTCCCCACTCCCTGGTGGCCAGGACTCTCCCACTTCTCAGAGGCCTCTGCCTCTGTGATGTCTCCATTTGAGGTGTCTTTTCCTCCTCATCTTGCCCAAATCCTATCATCTCTCAGAGGTCCCCTCCCCCACTGCGCCTGCACAGCTCCTGCTCCCTCCCCCCATAGTGGCCAGTTCCCAGGCCCTCAGGGCCCTCTCAACACACCTCTCCACCACCTCTCAGGGCCCTCTCAACACACCTACTTTGCAATTTAGTACTTTCTGGCTCTCACTGCTTTACCTCCCCTGAGGCTCCCCTCCCTGCTCCTGGATCCATGCCTTAATTTTCATAAAATTTCCTTATGAAAAAAAGCTGTACTGATTGTCTTGGAGAAATGAGAGGTATCAGATGTAGACTCATCTCGTTCCCACTTCCATAGGAAGTTAGGGAGAGGAACGCTGCAGCCATGGCTGGATTCCAGAAAACGGCCACTGGGACACTTCTCAAGAGCAGCATTTCTTAAGGGAAAGATCAGGCAGTGCAGATTCAGCCATGGTGACACTTAAGCTATGATCTGAGGCTCCAGCTAGGACCCAACCCATGGGCAGAAGATGAGGCAGGCTCACCACTCCACATCCTGGGGACAGAACAGAGGCTGACCCCTCGTGCTCTGCTCCCAGAAGACTTGAGCTTTTCTCTGATCCTGATCCTCCCCCACAGGGAAGGTCAGCTTGGAGCTCCTGGCCACAGACAGCCCAACCACAGGCCCGTTTGTTCACCCCAGTACCCACAACCATCTACTGACGAGGCACAGTGAGGACTCAGACCCCACCTGAGACAAATAATAGCACGGACTGCGCAGGTGGCGTGAGCAATGGGGCCGGGCAGAAAAGACTGGGAATGGGTTCCAGCTGCTGAGCTGGGCCTGGAAAGGGCATGAGGTTGGGCTGGACTGGGGCTGGGACAGAGGTGGAGATCCCCAGAATGGCTGATGAAGAGGAATCTAGTGGCACCAGAGGTCGGGCGGTAGTGTGGGACGGGATGACTGCGGCCTCAAACACCGAGGAGCGGTCTGCAGACATTATCACACGGAAAGCGAGACGCTTCAGAAGACGATGCTTGTCAAGGACTGTTCACAGTATGGGGAGCCAGTTGGCGTTTGGAAGGTGCAGGAGGTGAGGGAAAATGGAAATGGTGTGGTGTTCGAGCACATACGGTGCAAAGGCAATCCCTGCTGGAACGCTCTGCATGCTTCATTGTCACAGCACCTTGCAGAGACAGGTATTTCACAGGTGAGGAAACTGAGCACAAGGCACTTACATTATTTGCCCGGGGTGACACAGATAATAAGAGGTGGAACCTGGATTCAATCCCAGGCAACATAGCATCGCCAGTATTCCACTACCTCTCTGGAAATTTCGACGCTCTTTTGTGACCATTCAGCTCAGTCCCAGGTCACACCAGGGCATGGGGGCTGATCCGGGGCTCCCAGCTTTGGATCAAGCAAGTGGGGACAACTCCCTTCCAGTCAGAAGCTCTTACCCTACAGCACCTTCCTATTCAAACAACATGCCAGGAAGCTCTAAACCCCCACAACAAAGTACAAATAAGACCCAGGCCATTGGCACACCTGGCTCTCACCAGAATGTCTGAGTCTATGCTTGGGTAGGGCTGGCTGCAAAACCAAGATTAAGCAGCTCTTAGCAGTCCAACAACAGAGCACAGACTGGAGCAGACACCTCCAAGAACCTTGTAGCAATGCTCCTTCTGAGCTGCCTGCCCTCTTCCTCTGTCAGGTCCAAGTCTAACTAAACCCAGTAAACTTAAAGCAGCCCAAACAGTGCTAACCTGCAGTTAGTCAACAAACCATGCATCTATACTGATGTTCTGCAACTACTCCTCTATTAAAAAACAAGTTCCTCCCAGGACAGGGGGTAGGACAGGGACTGACGGGCCATGTGCTTCAGGCAGGGGGGCAGGAGAGCGTGGACAGGGACAGAGACAGGGACAGGAAAGTCTATTATGGCCAGAGCATGGCCATGAGTTCCTCGGCAATGCACCCACCACAGCCCAACATTCTACAGCGATGGAATGGCCGCCTTGATTTGGGTTGTATGATGGCGGTTTGGTTTACAAAGGATTCACAGGCATCCATCTGGACTGAAGGACAGACCTAAGAAAATGTGAACAGAGAACCTGGCTGGCCCTCTGAGTCTTTCTCAACTCTGGAGCCAGGAGGACCCCACCCATCTCCCAAGAGAAGACTCCCTCCTTTTGTCCACATCCAGGTGGTGCATCCCGGGGTGGAGTCTCCCTGCCCGGAGCACCATCTGCCTCCACCCTCCACGCAGGCTGGTCAGCACCCAGCCCTGATCGGTCTCATCCTCAGCCTACCCAAGCATCTCCTAAAGAGGGACAGAGAGCTGGGCTCCCAGCCCAGGGATGAACAGCCACAGGAACACTGTCAAAACCAGAGTGGAGCCTGGACAAGGACCCAGGGCTCCAGCCCTCAGTCCAGCGCTCCTTCCCTCCAGGGGAGCCTCTACCACAAACCACTGACCTCCGCAGCAGCCGCAGCCTGTTCACTCCAGCAGGACTCCAGCCCAAATAATAAACACTGATAATAGCAACCTCCACCATCACTCACCGAGCGCTCGTGAACCGTCAGACGTGAGCTTCCATTTCGTATAAGCCTCACAGATCGTTAGGCCACTATTATTATTCCCAGTTCTTAGATGGAGTAACTGAGGCCAGCTGACCTGCTTGTATCACTGGAAAGAGGGAGGCCCCAGCTTTGGACGACTCGTTATGCCAACGGCTAACAGCTGCCTTGGCCCTCAAACAAAAGGGGACTTACCAGCCAGCTGTAGGCACTCCCAGACCCAGCAGGAGCAGGTGAGCCGGTGGGCACAGGGCACACCCAGACCAGGGGGAGCAGGTGAGCTGCACGGCTGCTCCACTGGAGAGGCGAGTCGGGCTGCTGTGAGGCGCAGAGCAGCACCCCCCTGGCTCCGTGAGGGTCCGAGGCCCCTTCCCAGGCCGCCGCTGCTCCGCTCTGGCAGGGATGGGCCGCGGGCACTCTGGCACTCAATGAAAACGTTTCTAGCAAGGGCAGCAGCTGCTGTTGCCGTGGCTCTGATTCCCAGAGGACCCCAAAGCTTTTCCCATCATTTTTGCCCTTTTTCAGAAACCACTTAGCCGCTGCCCCTCCTCCAGCCATGCCAGGGCTGCTGCACTTAGCCACCCACAGCCTAGAGCCAGGTCGAGCTGTAACCTCAACTCTAAAGGAAGGAGGCACTGGTCAGATGCCCCCTCTCCCCCCAGGTCCACGCACCTGGGATTGTGCAGCTCAGATGCCCTTCACAGCCTGAGACCTAAAGCCCAGCATCCTAGAACTGCTCCATTTTCAAAATGAAAAAGGGGGTGTCATGGCACATCACCCCTCACCACGTCCTGGCCTGGCATTTAGGTACCTGCTGTTGCATGCTGGCCTCACCACCAGCCGTGATGACCCTGAGGCAGTCCCTGGCTCTCTTGGGCCTCCTGTTCCCAGGGTCCTCAAACTGGGGGAGAGGGAATTGAGCTCTCTCCATCCAACCCTAGTGGTGGGTTGAGTCCCCCAGGGTGCCCAAACTGGGGGACTTCTGGGTCGGCCAGAAGGTCTCCCAGCCTGTCTCATCAGGGGTTCCCCATGGGACCACAGAACACAGAAAAGTATGAATGTCTTATTTTCTCATTTCTTCTAGTTTAATCCTAAAAGCACAGGAGAAAAGTCAGTTCATGCCATACAGTAGGACTTAACGTCCCACTGGCACCTGGCTGAGAAAAGCTGCAAGTCTTTCTGGGTGTGAGTCTAGCACACCCCAAAATGCCCTGCAGAAGCAAAATGGGCAGCTGCCGGAAGAGTCCATGGTCAATAAGCCATGGGCCAGACAAGGCCTGAAATGAGCCACAGGGGGTGGCTCAAAGCTCTACCTTGCATCAGGCATTGACGTAGGACCGCCACCTCCACTCTGCCTGACTCTTCACTCTTCACAAAGAGCTTTGCAAGCCCACGGACGCCCCAGGCTGCACAGCAGCCCTAGGCAGTGGGAGAGCAGAGCCTGCTGCACCTGCTTTATCGAGCTGATGCTGTCTCGCTGGCAGCAAGAGTCTGCTGGCCAGGCTGCTGGTCTGGGCCCAGGGGCTGGGCCTGCAGCCTGTACACCCCTGCGTGGAGAGCTTTGTGTGCATCTCAGACCGATCTACATGTGCCATCTTGGCTTCAAAGCATAAGGACCTTGCAATTCATTTTTTTTAATTTTGATGAAACATAACATAAAACCATAACACTCGCCATCATCACCATTCTTAAGGACACCCCTCAGCAGCAGCAAGTTCACACTCGCACCAAAGTACAGCCATCACTACCCACCAGCTCCAGAATGCCCCCTCAGACGAAACTGAAACGCTGCACCCACCAACATGAGCACCCCAGCCCCTAGAACCCCACCTCTGCTATGAACCTCACTACTCAAGTGGACTCGAACAGTAGCTGTCTTTATGTAACTGACTAGTTTTCTCAAGCTAAGGTCTTCCATGCTGTGACTGGGGTCAGAATTTCCTTCCCTTTGAAAGCAGAATAATGTCCCATGTGTCACATGTCACATTGTGTTTATCCATCCGCCCAGGGACAGACATGGGTTGTGGGGTTACTTCCACCGTTTGGCTATTGTGAGTAATGTAGCAACGCGCGTGGGTGTACAATTGCCTCTGGGAAACCCTGCTTACAATTCTTTGGGGTCCATGGAAGCAGGCTACTGGGTCATGGGGTACACTCTTGATGACCACATGACAATGTTTTATACTTATGTCTATGAATAAAAGCATAAGAGATGCACAGATATATTTTGTAAACTCACCAGCAGTGATCCCTCAACCTACAAGGCTTCTGAGGTCACTGTCACTCCTAACCATATGGACCAAAGGTAGCTTAGGGGACCCCTCAGCATGGAGACTGTCACATGGCAACATTGAGCTGGGGACAGCCAAATGCCCACACAATGCCCAGGTCAGGCTAGGTCTCGCTGCAGGCAGGCCACACATGGGCAGGAGACATCTAGGGAAGACACTGAGAGAACCAGCCAGGCGGGGATCAGCGGCCAGAAAAGGGAAAGCGAAAGGTCTTCCTTCTTCACCAGAATCCTCTTATCTTCATCCAAGGTGACTTCTGCCTCCGTGAGCATGACACATGTCACTAAATGTGCCCCTTTGCCAACAGAACCATTAGCTGCGACAGCCTCTTCCAGGGTGTGCATGGCGCTGTGCAAACGCCAGGCGTGCATGGGGAAATTCTGGCCATCTTCCCCTTCTGTAACAAAGCCTTCTCTTTCTCCTCAGCTGCCTCTCTCCCCGCCCACCCCCCACCATGCCTTCCCACACACACAGGCCTCCCAGGACCTAGTCCTCAGCCTGGACTCCTCCTCCACCCTCACCCCTCCAGCGGCCCATCTGACACTTCCAAGCCAGCAGCTCCACCCAGGTGTCCAGCCCAGCCCTGTCCTCTGAGTCCTCCCCCACCTTGATTCTCAAATAGAATCCCGTCCCCTCAGCAAGTCCCAAGATGGACTCCTAGTCCCTCCACATTCAGCTCCATCACCATTCCTGCCTCTAAAGATACCAGCTGCCTCCTGGTCACCAGTGTGACATTCTGTTGTCTTTCCCCTCTCCTTCCATGTCCTCACTACCTGGGCAATATTTCTGAGGCTCATGTCCAACCCTCTCTGCAGCTGGCAGCCATCTCTTCTCACTTGCAGCACCAGACACGACTCCAGCCCAGCCTTCGCTGCCCACCACCTCTCAAAGCACTATCCAGGATACCCCCTTACCAACTGAGGCCCCCGCTCCCAAGCCCACAGCCCCAGTCCCCGGCCCACCGGAGTCCATCGCCGCTGTGAAGACCCACTAGTCTTATCTGGAGCTTCCTAAAGCTTGTATTGAGATTTACCTTCTCTGGTGCGTGTGTTGCCTGGCAGATTTCAATGGCTCCAGGGTGAGACAGGTCTCCCCTGCCCTCCACTTCCCTCCTCTAAACCTAGCTCCATGCCTTGCCAAGGTAGCACACTATAAATATTTATTGGCCTGGCTTTATTGGAACAGCACCTGCACTGAGTGAAATAGTGGCGGGGACAGGGCCTCAAGGCTGGGCGTTGCTGCCATCACTGTGGTTTTCTGGGTCATAATTTGAAACAGGGTGTTCTTGAATCTATGTAATGATGTGCCCATTAAAACTCCTTGTAAGAAGATCATGTTTTAATGATGACTTCTAGGAGGGGGCGCGTCTCCAAACTTAGGTCTGACAGGGGCATGAGGGAGCGCTGGAAAGCACTAGCCATCACCCCCACAGGTAGGTGGGCCAAGTCGGAGCCACAGCGACCACCATCACTGGAGGCCTCTGTTTTTAGTGTCGCCACCAGGGGGCGCATGACTCAAACTGCGCCCCGACCCTGGCAATAAGCGCCTGAAGCGTTTTCTTCCTCCATCTGGGTTCCTCGCAGACTTGAAGCCAGACGTCCTGGCACAGCTAGAAACCAGCAAACTCCCAAGTGCTGAAAAGTCCCGATAGTTAACGTCAGAGCTGCCAGCCTGGCATCTCCAGGAGGAACTGGACGCGCGCGCACACACACACACATACTCACACCCAAGGACACAGGCAACTCCACTAGTCTTGTCTTGCGCTTTCTAGATCTTGTGTTGGGATTGACCTTCGTAATTGTTGTGAGTTGCCCTCCAGATTTTAAATGGCCGGGGGATCCCAGACCCAGATGGCAAACAGCAGACCTGGAAGAAATCTACTTTCCTTTCTGTGTCTGGTCTGTGCTCTAGTGTCACCAAGCAGCCTCCTGTGCTAAAAGACCAGCTCCTGAGGATGGCAGGGTCTATGAGAGGGGTAGGGGTACTCCAGAAGTGGACGAGCGGGCAATCTGAGCTCTGCTCTGCAGAGCTGCGAGCCAGAGACCCAGAGCGGGGACTGGGCGCAAGAGGGAGAGCCGGCGGAGGGGCAGGGATGTGGCTGAGAATGGAGGCAGGAGAGCAGAGGGGACCTGAGAGCCAGCCACCAGCTCGTGACCTGAGGCTGATAGCTGGAGCCCGGGACCTGCTCCTTCATCCGCGAACTAGGCAAGGTGATCGCCTGCCCTGTCTGCTCGGCAGGGCTTGTCTGGGGTTAGTCAGGACTGGGTGTGAATGGGCGCTGTGAGCTGGTGAAGCTCTGGCAGGCGGAGGGGTTATTCTTCTCATTGTCATTATTTCATGTCTGCTGACTGCTGAGCTGTATCCGGCCATTAACGTGAGGTTGTGACTAATTGTTTTTAAGGAAAAAAATAAGATTTACTTAATGTTTCATGAGTCACTGGAGTGAGCATCTCTGTACTTTCCAAGATGTGGCCTGTCTAACCGTGGCTGAGGAGAGAGGTCAGGAGCCACCCTCCTTCCACAGGGCCGCGTGCACTTTGGAACCCACAGCAGTGAGTAGGGTTAAAGGCGGCCTTTGCCACTAGGAGGCCAGGATGGATGATGATGGAGGAAGCCCGCGGAGGCTCTGTGACAGTGCTGGGCACCGCAGAGCAGGCACAGGCAGGGCCCAAGGGGCTCTGCCCACACCAGACAGCGAGTCTGTCCTGGATGCTGGCTCCATTGAAATCCTGTGACAGGTAAGATGCCAGGGAGACTCTGTACAGGTGGGTGGCATTTGAGCTGGGCTCTAGATTCTGTAAGATTCTGCTGTAAGAACACTCCAGCACGGTCACTATCAAGATGCAGAAGGGCAGGGCAGAGACCACCTAACTGGGGCCCTGCCCTCAAGGAGCTGCCAGTCACTTGACAACAGAAAACTGGAGAATGGAAGCCGCAAACATTATGTGACTATAGCCAAGGCCAGGGAGCGTAGGTGTGGGGTGCGGGGGAGGGAGTGAGAGGAAGGGCTGGCGTTCACCCCACGGTGTCTGTGCTGATTACAGCCCTCACGGGTTATTTCCTAGTCTCCTCTCATTGGAACCCAAACTTCTGTAACACCCATCCCTAATCCAGAGTCCAGGCTGCCAGTTAGAACCTGAATGACCATGAAGTTGCAACCCTCAGCTCCACTGTGTAGACGAGGAAGTCCAAAGCCCTAGGCTGGTAGCCAAGACCCTTTGGAGTGGCCGACACTTCCAGCCACCAAGGACCCACCATCACTTTATATCTTTGCCCAGCAAGATCCGCCTGCCTAGAATGATAAGGAAAGTGGGCTCTGGGCTTGACCCCTAGTGTTATGATCTTAGGCTCACTGTTTAGCATTTTTGTGTCTCAGTTTCCTCATTTGTGAAATGGTGATGATAGTGTTTACCTTCTGGGGTTAATCAAATTCAAACACGTAGAGTGAAGTAGCTCCTGACATACAGGACATACTGCAGGCCCTCCCTGGTGGTGCAGCGGGCTAAAGCACAGCACTAAGAAGCTAAAGCCACTTCCACATGAGTTAGATTCCCGCCTGCCCCAGAGGTGACCACATGGCGCGGCAGACCTCTCCTGACCCGCCCGCTGCTCCCCTCAGCAGTGGACTTCGTCAGTCAGCCTGTTCTGCTCCCCACTCTGTCTCTGGTGAATCCTCTCACCGACCCTACACCTCTGGCCTGTACCCCAGTGCTGTATGCATAAGTAAATAAATCTTAAAAGAAAAAAAAAATACTGCAACACTATTGACTGTTATGGGTATCAATGGATTGAAAGTTTCCAAGGTTTTGCACAGTATCAATTGCATGAAAAATAAAGTGCTCCTCCTTCTGGGCTGTGGGTAAATTTGCCACCATATTTATTTCATTCCCCAGTGACAGAAAATGAACATGGTGTTCCTGGACCGGAGACACGTACCCAGCTCCACGTAGATGCTCAATGAAGATAACCATGCAGGTCTGTGAAGGTAAAGCTGAGACTCCTTGGACACAGTCCTCACTGTGGCTGCCGTGGTGAGGATGAGCCAGCAGCTTCCGCCAGCACTGATTTATTTCTCTGCCACATGAGAGGTGCCCCCTGGTTGGGTCGGTGGGAGCCAGGCTGACAGCTTCCACCCTCTGGGACGTCACCGGTCACTTGAGGCAAAGGAAGAGGGGGTGTGGTGAAGTTCACACTGGTTTCAAAAGACATCTACCCAGAAGTGGTATTTTACTATTTGAAGCCGACCAGGTGGAAAGTACAAGTCCACCACGCGCTTGTGAATCAGGGTATTGGCAAACAGCCCTAAGAACCAGCCCAGTAGCCCAGTTCCTCATCTGCAGCTCACACTGGCTCGAAGCGCTTGCTGGTATCCCCTCCTCCTCCAGTCTAAGTGGTTTAGTGAGACCCTGGTGGCTGGACTCAGTCCCCAGCAGAGGCTCCGAGTCAGGTGCCACAGAAACAGCAGGACGGTCATCTAGCAAGCATGGACAGTGCAGCTCAAACTGCAGAAGCAAAGTGGACATGTGGTCTAGAAAAGGGACCAGAGTTCAGGCACCACACTGGGCTCCGGCCAAGGCCACCTGGGCTTACCAGGCCTCCGCCCAGTTCCTAGTCCTATCTTTAGACTCCATCCACAGCAGCCTAGGAATGCAAGACAGGTTGCCTCACTGACGTTTGTCCCTCTGACAGGCCTGGCTGCTGCCCTTCAGCCTCGGTCAGGTGCCTTCTCTCACAGAAGGCCTCCACAGGGGGTGCCAAAGGATGGCATCTTAACACCCAGCTGAGATCAGTGTTATGTGACTTTCCTGCATCACTTGCAGCCACTTGTTGGGGTAGAACTGTGAGCAGGGGTTCTTCCGTAGGATACCCAGGAACTGACCCTCAGGGCCATGGCCAACTTCCCGACCAAAGCTCTGTGGCTATGCAGTAACTTACAGCTTCTCAAAGCTGAGATGTGTCTTGTTTTTTTCTTTTTTTAAGATTTATTTATTATTCATATAGAATTGGGGTACAGGCCAATTCAGGTGCAGTGAGAGGATTCCCCAGAGACAGAGCGGGGAGCAGAACAGGCAGATCCACAAAGTACACTGCTGAGGGGAGCAGCGGGTCGGTCAGGAGAGGTCTGCCGCGCCATGTGGGTCACCTCTGGGGCAGATGGGAATCGAACTCATGCTGACGTGGCCTGAGTTTTAACCTGTTGCGCCACCAGAGAGGGCCCCTGAGACGTGTCTTATTAAAGGGACAAGGTTCTGGAAGAATGAGCTTTAATATCTGAAATTCAATTATCACACTCAGACAGATTAATTGAAGAGCTTCCAACAATCACATAATTCATGAAATAACATTTACAGCGAGACAACGTGTCTGCATCCCAAGCACAATTTACCCAGGTGTCTCAGTGAGGCCTGCCTGGGCCTGGGCTCACCTTTGGCAGTCTGGGTGCAGACACTTTCCCGAAGCTATTCCTTCCTCATCCTCACCAACCACAGGAAGGTTTAAGATGGACTGGGACATCCTCCAGGGATGTCAGCTCAAGGGATGTGTCTGTGAGCCAGCACACACGTGGGCTAGCAGGGCCCGTACATGAGAAGAGCAAGGCCTGCAGAAGGGATTCTCAGTGAGTACGTTGGCCACCACTCCTGCAGGAGTCTGCCCATCTGCGTCCCTCCCCTCTCCCTTGGACACAGATGGAGATGCTTCCTGGAGATGTGAGGAGCCCAAAACACCCTCCTGATTCTCTCCTGGGAAAGGGCTCCTCTGGTACCTGGTTGGGCCCTAGAAACAATGTGACTGAAGGGTGGTGGCCGCACAGCCCCATCACCCTCTCCGGTCAGGCCATCTGCCTTCCCTCAACACCATGGGTCTTCTAACCAGCTGGCTGTGAGTACCCAAGGCAGCCTCTGTGCAGCAGGCTCTCCTTGGGGCAAGAGAAGGCAGGACACATGGAAGAAGGCCAGGGCACAGCTGCACCCTCATCGCAGTCAGCCTGCCTCAGGACCCTGGGCACAGCCTAACCCAGCTAACCAGCTGTGGTCAGGGGGAAATGAGAAAGGTCACAGGATGTCAGGGTCACATGGTACAATCCGGGGAGAAGGACTTGCCCACCAGTCTATGTCCATGTGACCCAAGTCCAGGTTTTATGTCCATTAAAACAACTGATCCAGAAGTCAGATGCAGAGTAGGGGTCTTCTTTCCTTACTTGGAGTCTGCAGTCACCAGACTTTTTGGTGTCCAATGTTCACATTTATTTTCTCTTTGTCCACCGATGAATCATTGATGAGCCTCCTGACAAGGATGCTGGACTACTGCTCCTTTTCCTTGATTCTCTCTCTTTTCTATATTTAACTTTGCAACCAGGTGAGTCGCATTCAGAAGGTCCTGATTTGGGGTCTGTTTGGTGACTCTTAGCTACATTAGAGTGTCCCCTAGAAGTAAGTTCTTGCTCAGGATGGTGCTCCAGAAACAAGCACTGCTTAAAAGCTGCCCACATCGTCCTCTAGGAAACAGATGGCCCCAGATCATGTCAGAAAGGTTAATTTGATAAAATCAGCAGCAGTCCCTTGCCCAAAGAATTTACTACCTAAGGGCCCTGGTTGAGGCTTCTCTGCAGCATGACCAGTGCTGCTCCCACAGCTGCATCCACATCTTGCCCGAAAGATACGGGGAAGGGGAAAGCCCTCTGCACCTCCTGCTTCAGCACCTCATTCCTGGACAGCGCGCTTCCACTCCCAATCACCCTCTCCACTCCCCACTCCTTGAGCTGCTGAAAGGGAAGCATGGAATGCAGGTTCTGGACAATGCCTCGGCACAGGGCCCGGGTCACGTGCCCCAAGGAGAGGTCAGAGGAGGAGATTCCGGTCACTGATGCCAGCTGGTCTGGCAGGTGCCTCTCACCCAACACCGTTGGGGTGATGGTTAGGCCTGTGTCTCTCTGCTGCGTCGCACCCTGGATCATGCGTGAATACACCAAGGATTCGTCAACCTCCAGGCCTGCCAGAAACAGAGAAGACCTGCGTGAGTTCATGCATCTTCTCACTGCTGGATGGGACTGTGTAGAGTACCCCTACGCAAGGTAGGAGAAATCCCCATATGAGGCTGCCAGCTTCTGGGCCTGGGCACTCACAGCCTGGCCAGCTGGGCTCTGCCCTATGTCCCAGTCAGCTCTCACTGCAGACCAGAGCACTTGCAGAGATCTTGCAGGTGCTGCTAGGAGCCCTAATGATACCACCGAGTCCCAAATGTTCATTGATCAGGCTACCTTATCAGTAAGTATCATCACAGTTGTGAAGGGATTTCTTAGCAGCGTTATAGAAATTCCAAGTTCACAAGGCTGATCACCAGTCCTGAGCAGTGTTTCCCATGTGAGTGGGAGTCACTTAGGGATGAGTGGGAATCACTTAGGGAGCTTATTAAAATGCAGCTCTGGCTCATTGTGTCTGGAGTGGGCCCTGAGAATCTGCCCATTTCCAGCTTCCAGAGGTGAAAAGCCACACTTCTTGAGTGGAATCATGCAGACCATTGCTTATCAGTAATTAAAGATATCAGCATCACCTGAGCAGGTCTTAAAAAATGCCATGCTCAGGTCCGAGCCCCCACCGCCCCCCAAGCCAAATAACCAGCATTTCTGCAGGCAGGAATAAGATATCAGTGCTGTTTTCAAAGCTCTACAGGTCTTTGCAGGACGTGGCCAGCACTGAGAACCACTAACCTACAGTCACTGTGGAGCACATTATCGACATATTAACTGACACTTACTCAACTGTATCCATCCAGAGGAAAGAGAGAACTTAAATATATAGGCAGGGGCCTCCCTGGTGGTACAGGGGTTAAAGTCTCAGCACTATCAAGCTGTCCCCAGCCACTGCAGCATGAGTTCAACCCCTGGCCAGGAAACTGACCCACATGCCTCAGCAGACCTCTCCTGTCCCACCGCTGCCCCCCTCAGCAGTGTATTTCAGCAGATCTGCCTGTTCTGCTCCCCACTCTGTCTCTGGTGAATCCTCTCACCCCCTGCACTTCTGGTCTACACCCCATTTCTTGTACACACAAATAAAATAAATCTTTAAAAAATAAATATTTATCATAGGCAACTAATCAAAATTTGACTGACAGGAATCTTGCTAAGTATGTGTCTTTCCCACCAGAAACGTTATTAAGTTTTTAATGTAAAAACAGTGACAAAGACAAAAGTACAAGAGAGGGAAAAATAATAAGCATGAGACTTGGAGACATATCTGGAAGGCTGAAGGCAGATGCAGAGTGAAAAGTGATGTGAGGACAGAGGCCAGGAAGGTTCAGGATGGGGATCAGCAGCGGGAGACGCTGACAACATAGCAGCACCAGGTATCTACTTGGAAATGAAGATGGGAGCCTGGCAGCCTGAGGTACTGCAGATGGCCGAGATGACGGCAGGATTAATACCAAAGCCTGGTGAGCTCCTCTGAGCTTGTGTCACCAGGACACAGGCTATCTCCTGTGAGAGACCTTCTCGCAAAAGGTTCTCAGGTTATATTTCCAGAGGATACAAAACTCTGGCAGGAGCAGGGCTCCAGAAGCTCTGCAGACTCAGAGGACTCCCCCACCCCCACTGGTCCCCAGAAGACAAGTGCACAGGGCCCAGACCACAGAACCAAATGCTTCCCAGCCCTCAGTCCATGCCTGTGGGTTGCACAGTCCCCCTTAAGGCTGGTAGGAAACCTACACCCTCACTGCCACATACTGCTTCAGTTAAATCATGTCCCCAACCTAGAGCAGAGATTGGAGGGTTGTTTTTTTAAGCTTATACAACTGCAGGAGGAGTTTAAGGTGACTACCTGTCAGGACGAGGACTAGGGCGGGAAGGGTTGGAATAGGGACCACTGCCTTTCTCTCTGAATTCACTAGTATTATAGAACTCTTTTTTCAAAGATTTATTTATTTATGCATACAGAACTGGGGTACAAGCCAGAGGAGCAGGGGCGGTGAGAGGATTCACCAGAGACAGAGTAGGGAGCAGAACAGGCAGATCGATGAAGTACACTGCTGAGGGGAGCAGCGGGCGGGTCAGGAGAGGTCTGCTGCTGTGGGTCAGCTCCCTGGGCGGGGATCAAACTCATGCTGAAGTGCTTTAACCTGCTGTGCCACCAGGCCTATATTATTGAACTTTTTAATGTTGTATTGAAGTAATATTGGTTTATAACACTCTACAGATTCTAGGTGCACAGATTATAATCCGATATATACTATATTATGATCACTACCAGTACTACTAAATTCTTTTTAAATAAAGCATGTGCTTGGTGAACCCCAATCCATGTGCACACAGACCTAAATATGTAGCGCTGAGCCCCTGAAGGAGAACTGCTACATCAACAGATAGGCACTTTGTACTCCTCCTTAGAAGTCGGACCAATTTCTATCAGAGCAATATGTGGGAGTGACTGTCTCTCCAAAACAGTGTGCTGGAAAATTCTAAAAGAGTAAATGTAGATATGTATGTGAAGTTATCATATGTACACTTTAAATATATAGTTTTTCAACTGTAAAAAAAATGTAGAATGTCAAACCATCAAATGAATGTAAGAAAGGGAAAGGAGATTTTTAAAAGAGGAAAAAAAACAAACCAACTAAAAAGCAGAGAGAGAGACCAAGACTTAACACAATGCATTATCCTAGAACGGATCCTAGAAAAGAAATAGAACATTACTGGGAAACTGTTGAAAGCCAAAAAATATATACAGAGTTTTGGTTTTTTGTTTGTTTGTTGTTTGTTTTGCCAGTCACAAGCTTGTATTAATGTA